ACAGAACCGGAAGTTCAAAGACAATATTTTAAAGATGACGGCGCCCACGTTTCTCTGGTGCATAAGGTCTATACAGAGATTGTTGTTGTGGTGCTGCCGCTGATGTACGGAGTCCGGGCGGTAACGAAGTTGCGCTGTTGAGGCTCGTGCAGTTATTTATAACATTAATTTACAGTTAAGAAACAATAAATAGGCTACACACGACCAGCGTGCTGTTTGCCTGAATGCCATCACAATTGAAACCAAGATATTGATTTCATAAGTTCAATAGACAAATAGTTAAAATAGTTCATATTAGACGCAATGACTGTTTTTGTTCTGTTTCAGCAGCGAAAATAGTTCCAAACAACAGCGCATCTCACCGCAACACTCACCCATGATTCATTACTGAGCGATTCAGCGTTTTGAACTAATCGCTCGAGTCAAAGATTCAATTACCCATTATTAAACTGCCTCATTCGGAATGAATCAGCCGTTTGAACGAATCGTTTAAATGAATGACTCAATGACTCGCTCATTAAGAGGCCGCTGCTGTCTCCTACTGGCGGTTTAGTTTCAAAGTATTATTCTTTTAGACAATCCTTATTTGTATATTAAAAAAATTAAAACAATCTCATAATCTCATTCAATACAGTTATGATTTTTCAATGTAAATTATTTAATTTGATTGGTAACAGCCTATATATTATTATTTTAATTTAATGTATTAATAAAATGTAATAATTTGAAATGAAATTTAGAACATTAAATAAAATTAGTGGGAAAATGATTCTGATAGGAGTGTTTTCAAAAATTAGACATTGACAATTTAAGTTTAAAGGGAGTAAAGCCTCTGTTTAGACTATAAAGGAAATTTAATTTTGCCAAAAGAAGAACTTTTCATTGAAATAGTTCTTAATTTTAAATCAGCCTACTTCAGTGTGATATATCACCATATTATCATGCTTAATTCAATAATTGTAATGTGTTGATCAGATGCAGATATCTAAATCAAAGTGCACCAGATTAATGAATTTATCTTTAAAATGTACAAAATTTTCTCCCGGGGGGACATGCCCCCGGATCCCCCATAGTGTTACGATTTTTCCACCTCTGCCTCATTTTGAGCCATGAAAAACCCTGACATTGGTCCATAGTGTAGCAAAGTAGTCTTTAGATTTTTTTTAGCATTTAATAATTAGGCCTAAATACATTTTAGGGGACCCCCCAAGAGTCCTAAGTCATTTCAGACCCTGTCTAGGAACGTTCTGGGAACCAAAAACTAACGTTCCCAGAACCTAAATTTGTTTGCTAGGTTCATGTAGAAAGTGAACTTTCCCAACATTGACAGTAGAGCACGTTGGAGTTATTGAAATAGTTATTTGACTTCTTTCGGGTTGAATGGTGGCCGTCTCTCCAGTTAACTCTAGTAGAGCATTCATTTCGTTTGTTTGTTAAAAAAGAGGCGATCTGAAGTGTGTTTTTGAAATCAAGTGACCGAAGTGCTTGTTGCCGCTGCGATCAGTCTGTTGAGACGCGCACAGTCTTCACAAGGACGCACGCTTCAATCCGTTGAGGAGAGACTCTCGATTAGGGCTGCACGTTTTCAAGTTTTTCATTAACCGTTAACCGAGGCCCTTATCGGTTAATACTCGGTTAACCATGTGCACGCCGCAACCTCGAGATACAGAGTTAATTTTTAACACCTTTAATAACTGGTTGGACCCCATTTGAAACGAAATTAATTTATAGAAATAAAACGCAGTGGTAAGTTCAGAGCAGTTAAAGTAGGCGTCTTTCCATCACCCTTCAACCTGAAATTGCCAATTGAAAATACGCACATTGGCAACACGTCCATTTCCCAAAAACTCAGTGTCCGCAAATAATATTAATAATCATCATTATTGAAACATTTTATTAGGCTGCATATGTAGAAGACGCTTTTATCCAAAAAAGGAACAAAGCACAAATAAACACAATATTTTGACGCATATCCAGTGTGTGTGCTTAATGTGGAGGATGCGAGACGCCCATGTGAACACTTGCAGTTTCATTGCAGTTCTTTCAGTGGAAACAACTTAAAATACTCTTTCATTTCTGGTCATACAGAAAATAATAATACATTATTTGCAATTACATTTATTTGCGTAAACTCACAATAACAAGAAAACCTTGTGCTTTAACAAACAGGCGCGCTTCATGATCTCCGTGAACTGAAGCGCGAGAACTGAAACAGCCACATTCGAATTTGTTCGTTTTAAATTGGACATTTAAAGCTTTAGTCTAGACTAAAGCTTTAAATGTCCAATTTAAAATGAACAAATTCGAATCGAAAGCCAATATCTTCTGACTATGTAATTATGTAGCCGAGCTAATTACTATTTCTCTGTAAAGGTGCATCCAGGGATGGAGATTTGTTTTTAGCAGAAACTGATTTAGAAAACAATAGTTTATTAATAATTAATTAATGCCTCGTTATTTTACATTATTTTATTATCAGACACATTTATTATATCTTATAAATCATCTATAAATCCCCTTTCTGTAGGCTGTGGTTACGGCTCTTCTCATTCAGCACTGCTGGGAAAATATCATTTCCAGGTTCTATTTTGGCCTCAGAAAACCAGTAAAATCTTTTTTTTTTTTTTTCATATTCATTTGTCAAATATTTTAAATGTTTAAAGGGGCAAAAAATCAAACAAATATCTGAAAATTAGTCGATATATATAGCCTATATATTTTTGCGCAGCATTTGACGTAGTCCTACAGTTCAAATGAACATTTTGGTGTTCAACTCAGCGTTTTACAAAATACAACAACCGTTCATTTTTCGTTTTGCAATTAGGCCTACGGATTAAATAAGGGGAAACGAATGAACACAAAAGTACACTGACTGGACATATACGAGGCAGAGTTCTTTTTTAAAATTCATAAATGATACAAGGAATAGCCTACTAGACAAAACCTCAAAGAAATGCCACAATCAAGACCGCGGAGCAGAAATGAGGGAGAAACACACAGAAACTCTGAGACTTTCCCTGCCATTAATTCTTGGATGACACACCACGTCTCCTTCCATAAATAATAATAATGTCTAGTGCGGTGGCTGTGATATCAACGTCCGTTGCCATTATTTTTGGAATGGCTTATCGCAAAGGGGAAAAAAAAATGTTTTAGTCGCATAACACCGTTAATAGAAACGCTGTCATTTCACAATATTTTTTTATCGACAATCAGAAAAAAAACACAAAATTTTTGTGCAAATATGTATTGACGCCACTTAACCGAGCAAAAACGTTTCACTCGGTTATGCAATTTTAAACGGTTAATCAGTTAACCGGTTAACCATGGACACCCCTACTCTCGATATTTACTAGGGTGAAATCACAAAACCTAGTTCACAAAACAACATGTCCCTGCTTGAAATACAATCACTAATAAATAGTTTTGATGAGGAAAATAAACTGTACTACTATTGCGGATTGGAAATCAGAACCTCTGACATACTTGGCAAAAGTTCTGCCTCTGGACCATTAAAGTTCATGGGGATATTTATCGGATCTATGTATTTAATCACGGGAATATTCTCACCACTAACAACATATATTAGATCTCATTAAACCAGGGTTCTCAAGTTTGAGCAAAAGCTTGGAGTGAGATCACACGCGGTTAGGGGAGGAGCCATAATGAAGCCCCGCCCCACCCATCCCCGCCCCCAATTTTACCCATTGTTCATAATTAACCAGAACAAATTAAAATTATAACAATTAGTAAATCTGATAAATGACAGAGCAATTCATCACATCAAATACTCTTTAATGCAGTATTACAAATATAGCTAACCAAAAATATAACAAATTGCTCCAAACAGTTTCAAACAAATCTTTAAAAATTGCATTTTGATTTTTGAATGCGTCTTCTATCTAGACGAATGATTTATTGTGTGGTGGGACATTGAGAACAAATGGACAGATTAGAGTGCACCACCTCTTCCACTGTCTCCTCCTCTAATCTGGCAACCTTTTTAGGGGGCTTACCCTTTGGTGCCCAAAATGACAAAATATTTTCTGCTTTTTTCCTGACATCTTTGAAAAATACAAATGCAACATTATGACAATGATTAAATATTACCCAGAGCAATCTGCTGTAATACATCCTTAATGTAACTAGAAAGACTATTAATATTACAGTATAATATAATTTAAAATAAAATCAGTAAATCTTCATTCCTTTCCATACCCACTAACATTTCTCTTAGTTTCAGATAACGTAAGATAGCCAAACTGAGCCTGGTTGCAAAGTAGTTGTAGAGTTTTTGACTGCATCAATAATAATGTACGATGGGCTGCTACATATTAAATATTCTAGCCCAAAAATGTTAGACGAGCTTCTTCCAACTGACCTTCTTCTCCATCACGACACATGTGTTCGCGCGATGTTGTTGGTTACCTAGTAACGAACGTACGGTGGCCGAGGATGTTCCGTCCATTTCCGTGTGTTCGCGCTACTGAATGACATGTCATGTATAGATCAGTGGTGCACGCAGCGCGCATATATGTTGCCTAGTAACGAACGCAATCTGGCGGAGATACGCGCTGGCGGCAGGAAACTTCACTTTGTTTGCCTGCGCCTCGTATACAACGTTAGAAAGCTTTCAGCCAGGACAACTTGGTTGGCATTGCCTTTTCAGCGTGAGAAATACACAGTGTGGCGTGTGAGCGTGTGAACCGGTCGAAATGAGTGTGTCTCACGGCCAATGCGTGAGACTTGAGAACCCTGCATTAAACGACAAATTAAACACAATGTACTATTGTATACTATGTAACGCCACGCTCTGCGCGAGTGGTATTTACGACAGTAACGTTAAATACAAGTACTCCACAGTGACTCTAGGGGTCACTGTTCGACAAAAACGGGATTCCTGCAAAGTGTGCCTTTAAAATATAGTGATTATTTTTAACGTACTTTGATATTTTCTTAGATTTGTGTATTTTGAATGAGAACAGGGCTCAAAAGGATATTCACCTTGAGGCACACGGTCCCTGGTTCAGTGCACTTGTGTCAGCAGAAACGTTGAAGTTCTTCACTGTAACTTTAGGGCAGGGAAGAGAGTCTTTCTCAAGAAGTCCTGAGATATCTGGATTGGGACACATTTATAAAGATGCTCTCAGAAAATGAACCACAATGGAAATGTTATTCATGCCCAAAAATCATTCTAATAAAACCCTGTTTGCTATTAATACAGTAGTTGAACTTGTTCTCTGTTACTTCATAAATCCTACCTTGCATGGAGAAGAGAAGTATGAGGTCCCCACCCTTGATGAACTCTCTTCTAGCAAGATCATCTCTTGTCAGGGACGTAAAAGCGGCTGCTCCACCCCTAAATACAGACTCACCATCGATGAAGATTTGAGATCCAATGTTTTGCGGTCCAGCGTTTCGAGGATTGTCCCAGTATTTCCATAAACCTGTTAGAACAAAACATGGCTTATAAAATAACCATAAAAGATACAGATTATAACTTTGATTGTCATCCAATTAAAATGTTTCATATAAGCACATGAAAAATGACAAAAACAATATAACAGAAAAATAATCTTACTGAATTAAAGATCTAACCATAATAAGTAATTTCAGGGTCAGTGGTGATGCTTTGCTCAAAGGACATGCGCTTCTGGATGTGTGGATTCTGGTCAAGGATCTGGCCAGTTATTTGTCTCCATGGACAAGGCCACTGCAACTGCTCATCATATGCACCAGATACCAGATAAACATTTATTTGAAGAAAATTCCTGAAAAATAGCTCTGCCACAAAGCGATAACCATCACTGAAGTAATACAGTGGACTAAATAAAACAACAGCACTCTTAATCTGTTTCTCAAAGTCCCTTATCTGCCATGTGATGGGACACTCGGTCTCTGAAACATTGATATCATCCAGTGAGAATCCTCCACTGGAGTTTCCAGCTCCTTTACGGCCTTCAAATACAACTTGGAAAGATGTATTTGCGTTCAGTTGCACGTGATGCAGCTTCCAGTAATTACCAGGGGTTTCTGCAAGAAAAGAAGCGGTCAGTGACACTGAAATAAAGACCTATATGAGTTCTGCAGGAAGAGACGGACCTGTGACCCGATCCATAAGTCTGAGAGTTCCTCTGCTGTCTGCTTCATCCTGGTACTCTCGGATCCAGATGTTGAGCTGGTCAGACTCATCGCCGCTGTGATAGTAGTAGAACTGCAGGCACTGGACTTTGCAGTCTCTTGTAGGGGTCAGTGTCTTGCTCTCCAATCTGGCCGAGTCCCCCTGGTTTCTGCCCTCAGTGCTGAAGTGCATGAAGAAAGACGTCCCTGCAGGCATGAAGACAGGTGTGTGGTTTGGGGAACTGGGTGGACAGTGACTGTGGATGGAAGTCAAGGGGTTTTCTCACCATTCTGCTCTTTGCCCAAGTAGCTGTGGTCAGTCACATTGATGTCACTCACGGACAGTCTCTGCCAGCCATAATCAGCAGCAGAACAGACCCTCATCTGACACAGAGATTCATCATCAAAACTACAGTGGTCAAGGAAAGAGATGGAGGAATCTGCAAACAAATACTGAGACTAAATCAGTGCATTACAACTTCAGCTCATCACAATAGTCCAGAGGTCACTAATAGGCGGACCGCGGTCCGGATCCGGACCCAGACGTCGTTCTGTCCGGACCCGGACCAATAACTAGAGAATTATTAACGAATTATTAACGTTTGACGGAGCGTTTCTATTTTAACTGCGCAGCTTTTCTAGCATTTATGGTACTGGTTTAGCGCGACCCAGGAATGTCACTGACCAATAGCATGCGTTGTAAATCGTCAAGTGATGCTACTCGAGTCAGCGGCAGCGCGAGAGACACACACACAGGGAGAGACGAGACGAGACGAAAGAGAGACGACGTTTCACATGGCGTGCTCTAAAAAAAGGAAAGTGGACAGCGAAAACAGAGCTTTCAATTAAGAATGGACAGATTCTTTCATGTTCATTCTTCCCACGGGCAGTTCAAAACCGGTATGTCTCATATGTTCAGAGACTGTCGCGATTATTAAGAGCGGCAATGTGAAGCGCCACTATGAGACCAAGCACAAATCGTTTGACCAAACATACCCACTTAAATCCGTACTGAGGGCACAGAAAATAAACGATCTAAAAGCCCAATATGATCGATCCAGCAGAATCTTAACACATTCATTCACTGCCCAACAACGTGCTAACGAATGTTCCCTTAAAGTTGCTTGGATTTTGGGCCAACATAAAAAAACATTTACTGATGCAGGGATTGTCAAGGAGTGCATGAGTGCGGTGGCTGAAACCTTACTTGAGGGAAAACAAAAAGAAGACATGTGTGTAAAAATCAAGCAAATACCTATGTCAGCATCATCAGCCACAAAGAAAACAGAAATATTAACCCAGGATGTGCTAGCTCAGCTGGATGAAGCAATTCACAAGGCACCATGCAAAGGCTTAGCTGTAGATGAGTCCACTGATGTGTCTGACAATGCTCAGCTGTTAGTTTTTGTAAGGTTCTTTAACATGGACAAGGAAAAGTTCTGTGAAGACCTGTTAGTAACACACCCCTTCAGACCAGTACAAGAGGAGAGGACATCTACCTGGCTATAAAGGAGATGTTAAAGAAGAGGGCAATAGAGATGAAACAAGTGGTTTCAATAACCACAGATGGAGCCCCTGCCATGGTAGGGAGAGAGAGAGGAGGACAATCCTCAACTCATCTCTTACCACTGCATAATTCATCAGTCAGTCCTGTACTCCACCCTGTCAGATGAGTATGCTGAGGTGATGAACACAATGATGAGAATGATAAACTTTCTCAGAGCTTCCTCTTCCCATCAGCATCGCATGCTCAGGGAATTCCTCAGAGAAGTTGATGCAAATGCTGATGATCTCCTGTTACACAACAATGTGGCTCAGCAAAGGTAGGGTGTTGGAGCGCTTTTGGTCTATCCGAGGGGAAATCGCAGCTTTCTTGGCACAGCTGAAGAGCCAGAAGGCAACACCATTTTCTCTCTTTTTAGAGGATGACAAGAAGATGGATATTGTGGCTTTTTTGGTTGATATCACTTCACACCTGAATGAACTGAATTTAAAGCTACAGGGCAAGGACAATTCAGTTTGTGATCTGATGACAGCTGTGCGCTCCTTTCAGAGGAAACTTGCGCTGTTTAGGGAAGACCTGCAGGGAGACTGTGCACACTTCCCAACTGTGAAGGAACAGGTTCAGGGTGAGAGAGAGGTGTCTTCTTTTGTTGACTTTGTTGACAAGCTGATTGTAAATTTCAGCAAGCGTTTTGACAGCTTCAGCCTTGGACAGCAGCTCACCCTGTTCATTCAGAACCCATTCCTCATCACAGATGTCAGGGAGTTCTCAAAGGAAGTCACACTACTCTTCAAGTGGGCAGATGCTGGGCCTCTCCAGATGCAACTTGTCGATCTCCAAGCAGATGTGGCCTTGAAAGAGCATTTTGGAAAATCTGATCCTGCCACTTTCTGGCTTCAAATGGTCTCAGAGACCGCTTTCCCGGGTCTGAGGAAAGTAGCCTTGTACATCTTTACCATGTTTGGCTCTACATACAACTGTGAGGCTGCTTTCTCCACAATGAACATTATTAAAAGCAAATATAGATCCAGGCTCACCAACGAGCACCTACACATGTGTATGAGAATGGCCCTAACACCATTCCAGCCCAGATTTAAAATGCTGGCAGGACAAGCAAGGGCTCACTTTTCTCACTAAGCAAGAGAAAGTGAGGAAGTGGAATATAAAAGGGAAAGAAAGAGAAAAGGAAGTGTTAAAGTTGTTCGATTGTTAATATGTGTTAAGATTGTTTATTATAAAATGTTAAAATTAAGTTAAAATTAATTTAAACTTAAGATGTGAAAGGGAGTTAACTAAAAACTAAAAGGGAAACTCAAGCTGTACTTTTTATTTTATTTTTCTAAATTTAAGCAACTAATTAAATACAACTAACGTTACTAGGCTGTGGCACTGAAAGATAACGCTTGACATTTAAAAATTATAAAGATAGTCATTGTGATGTTGCGGACCTTTGCTTGATGGAATTTTCTCTAACTGGACCTCTTAGAATTTTAATTGAATACCTCTGCAATAGTCCTTGGTCTCCCTGGCATCAAATATCGGTCCGGATGAGATATCCAGCAACCGCAACTTCATTTTAGTCTTACATACAATCCACAAATTGACAAGAAACAAAACATTAAAGGCCACAAATGAAAACGGTCAAATACTTACTGCATTTATAGAGTTTGTTGAGCTCAATCGCATCATATTCACTCATCTCCATTAGTTGTCCGATCACATCTTGAAACTCAGGACGCTTGGTAATGATCGTGGATCCATTACCGTTGCTGAAGGCGTTTTGATCAAAATGCATCACAGAGTAATAATCATATGGGGTGCTGGACACGTTCTCACTGGATTTATTGAAATAACTCTCATAACCTGAAAATAAATAGTATTGCAGTTATTAAGATGATTGATCATGAGGAATGGCTTATTTTCTCTTAGTTCTCTTTAGTAATATTGACACTCAGGATGTAAAGCAAATTAATACACTGACTATTTTACAAAGTAAACCTTTGAGGATGTTTTCATATCTGATTGTCACATAATCATCTCTGTCATATCTCGTCTGCTCATGGTAGAGTCCCAGTGCATGGAGAAACTCATGCTCAACAATGGCTTTTATTCCACAGCCATTCCCAATGGAAAGAGTCTGGCCTCCGGGAGACGTGCGTCCGATGTGTGACCAACACCTGCAACATGAGGCATTCACACAACACACAGTCGGATAAAGCCGCCAGTCTAATTATACTGTCAAATTATAAGCATCAGAATTTTGATTGGTAAATTAACTGAACTATTTGACTCTACAGATTCAGTGTAGCATAGTCCACATCAGAAGAGTCTATAATCTATGACTAACCCTTCACGACTCTCCACTGAGATGTAAAACTCTTCTGCCGCTCTGGGCTTAAAGTCAATGCATGATTTCAGTCTGAACTGCTCAAAGGCTCTCAATATGACTCCTCTGTAGTTCACACCTGTAAACACAAACAAAACTCAGTGGAAAACAATATAAAAGTTACATTAAATATTTCAAAGTTGATTGAAGCGTAAGTGAGGAGTCTGAAATCTTACTGAGATTTACACTCAGCTCATAGGGGACGGGAATTTCCCACAAGGACTGATTCCCTGGAACGGCGCTCGCTTGCCTAGGCTTTAAACAGATCATTTCACGTTTCCTGATTTCATAAATATATAGAGAGAGACTTACCTGCATTTATATATTCACAGACTTACCATCATGATGTCTCCCTCTGTGAGACTTAAACCTAAAACCACAAGAGTTCACAGTAAATATGCTTCAATAAAACAATGAGTAAAAGTAATATCTAGTCAACAAAAATAGATAAAAGTTATCTTAGTGCTTATATAAATGTATTTGGGTTCTTGAAATGCTATAATAGTTTTACCTTTGTTTATATCCGGAATGCTCTTCCATTTCTCATAAATGGCTTGGAGAAAATTATATTGAAGTCAACAAAAGACACAGACAGGGAAAGAGCATTGTGTGCATCGAGTGCTGGACTAAATGTACATTTAATGAAACCGTATGAAAGTAAGCGATAAACGAGCAATTACATCATCAAGCAGTAATGAGCAGTTAAAACAGGATATTTCATCCTGGAAACATATTATAATAACTCTACCACAGATGAATGTGACTTTACTGTACTTACCAGGTGGGTTCTGACAACATGAGATATAAAAACAAGACAAAGAAAAATATTTAGCCTCAAAAAAAAAAAAAAAAAAAAAAAAAAAAACCCAACTGTACATTGCTTTATAAATGACAATGACCGTATCTAACTTACTTGTGATGCATGACCAAGAGCCACAGCAAAGCTCAGCAGAAGAAAAGCAAACACATGCATTGCCACTGGAAATCATAATGAGGATATTTCATTGATAACGTTTCATTTTATCATCTTATCAACCTGCAGGCAATTTAAGTTAAATCTAAACATATATTGATCAGAAGATCATTAACTCAGGAAACTAAAAGAGGGATACATACCAGTTTGCAGTCGGTAATGAAGCTGTATTTGTTTGAATGGGAAGCGAGAGTCATTTCAGCAGCAATGCCCGAAACTTTCCCTGAAAATTACTGGAAAAACCAGCTAGACTGCAAAGTTAACATAACAGGTCCGTATGTCATCCAATCATTCGATTATTCCATTTAATCTGGCAAACCAAAAACAAAATAACGAATCAATGTTTTATTTTTCTGTATGAACCAAATATGAAAATTTTCGTTTGTTTGATTGCTTTCAGGGTCCGTGTAACGCTTTGCAGTTCTTTGTTCAATTTTTACCATTAAAATTAACCAAATGAAAAATTGTCTTCAAACTTTAATTTTCCATTTTTATGGACAACGGATAATTGTCTCTCAGTTTCATTTTCAATTCTACATGCTTGGGTTGTTGCGTCCGTAGTCTGGTTTTTGAACAAACATTAAAAAAAAATGACTCATTGATCTGATTTTCCATTTCTCTGTGTTTTGCTCGCGGTTAGACTGTACCCGTTCCACCGGGGGATGGAGTGGGGGTGCACCTGGATGCATTTACCAGAGCGTTATGTATATGGCACATCTGAGTCTGACCATGAAATAATTTATCGCCAGTGGCTACGCGCTAAGATAGCTTTCAGACACAACATTCTCCTTTTCTTTATAGCTCTTTTGGGGAAGTTTCTATCGTGTAATTTTACTATTATTTGTTTGAGATGGGCCTTGCCTCGCCTGAAATGTATGCGAGAGTAGGCCACTGCAGTGAGAGGAGGATTGAAAAAAGCGCAGTCAAGCCGGACAGATCTCTGTTCTCGCAGTGGATCTGACACCTGTGAGATCAAAGACTGATATCGCGGGTATAACGCTCGTGCACGTCACGTGATGCTAAACTGGATGTAATTAAAGTTCCCTTTCGTAGTCACTTCGAGTTACGTCAGAAGTGACGGAGATTGGGGGTTTCGCATAGAAAGCCAATCCTCTTCGAGTATTTAATCACGAGCCAATGGCATGAAATGCCTTGGGGCTGCGGAAATTTGCATAGCGTACTCCGCTCTACTCCGTGAGCATAAAAGGAGGAAGTGAACGCAACCGCAGTATGTTTTCGCTTCGGAGCCAAGAGAACTTCTTCACTCCACAAGCCACATAATCTGAGTTTACTACGGTGACTCACCTCTTCGAGACGAGCAAACTCTCTGGTGTTGGTGTGACGGCGGTACCCAGCGAGTTTCACATTGCCTGCGATCTGAGCAGTGGTCTGCCAGTGTGTGTGTGTGTCTCTCCCTGGTCGCTTCAACATCCGCGGAGTTTTCTTCTCTCACTGAAAGAGTGTGCACGCGGCTCGTCTTTTTGAAGACGATCTGCCCGTGTATTCCTGAGCGCGGTATTCTGATAGAGTCAGCTGATGGGCGCGAGCGCTGTTTGACGTGTTTGGGCTTTGATCACGCTCAGACAGCGCTCGTGGGTGTGTCACGTTCTCTCAGTGGGAACGTGATCATCGCAATGTATAACGGTTGAGACTCAATGAGCTCAGTAGAGTGAGAGTCCCCTCATCCACAACCCGAACCATTTTCTCCACGTGAGATAATGCTTTGGCTGGTGGCCAGGGTGACCAAAAAGACGTTAGGTCTGGAACTAAACCGACGAAATTCCTCGGTCCACACCCCGTCTTTCACATTGCAACCCACGTGGTCCAGAGTGAGTGGGCGGGGCCGTTCGCGGGCCCGCGTTCTCATTCGGTCCCCCAGCTGATGAAATCATGTTTATCGCCGCATCACAAGGTGAGCTGGAGTCTTTGGAGATGGCTCGTCTGTGCTGCTGTCCTCGGATGTGCTAGCATAGCGAGCTTGATTCAGGGCTCACAGCTATGCTTCCCGGGCTGCCACGAGTATCGGGTTTGTGTGGAAAATTCTGCCATATCCCGAGCACTTAAGGCTGATGATTGGTTTTTGGGGGTGGCGAACCCAAAACCTTTCTACCCGGATGTGCATGAAGAGGCCGTGAGATTGTGGAAGTCTCCTTTGACTTTCACGATCACTCAACAGCCTCTTCCGCCTTCTCTGCCCTCCTGAGGCCGCGGTCTAGGGTGCACTGGGGTTCCCCCCTGTGGAGTGTTCTGTGGCAACACTTAGGTGTCCCCACAGTGCCTCCACCTGGTGTGGCAGTCCTAGGCACCCCTCCAATGCCTATAGGTTCTTGTCTACTCCGGTGGCGGGGACCTGTGGAGCTGCGGGGCAGGCTGCCACCTCACTGTATGTTATTGTCATTCTCATGGGTGTTCAGTGACATGCACGAGGGTAGGGCTGATTCAGAGCTCATCCTTGAGCTGCATGCCGTCGCCGACCTCGCTCTACAAGCGGGGAAGGTGACCGCATGCTCCCTGAGTCAGGTGATGTCCATGCATGTGGTCAGACACTCTTGGCTTAACCTGGTTGATGTGCGTGAGGTTGAGTGAACCAGTTCCTCAACTTTTCCCATATCCCAGGCTGGCCTCTTCGGCAGCGCGATCGAGAACGCTGCCCAACAGTTCTCGGCCGCCCAGAAGCGGACTGTGGCTTACCTGGCTCTGCGGTTTCTGCTGCTACTAGCCGCCGGCTCAGATGCATCAGTCAGCTTGCCGCCGAATGCGCCCTCCTGCGACTTCCGCCCCCTCCCGTCCGGCCCCAGCAGCACCGGGCCGTGCCGTGAGGTGGTCGTAGGGAGGCGCCCCTGCCCGTACCAGCCCCGCAGCCCTGCTGCGACGCTCTCGTTACGGGCAGCTCGGGTATGGTTTGCAGTTCTTCAGGGAGTGGTCAGGCCCACTCCTTCCCCCGGTGGAGGGCTGGGGGAGAATCTTTTCTCAAAGAGCTGCATTCCATCTCTGAGCACACAGAGCAAGGTGAAAATGCGCAACGGCCCCGTGCCTCGCCACTCTCATTTTCCTGTCTCTGAGGGTGCGGATGGGAGGTGTGTCGTCCCTGGACCACGCCACTCCCCTCCCCCTCTATCGCCAGACCCCCGGCAGAACAGACCCCTGTGGAACGTGCGTCCTTCCCTGGTCTCTTCTGTCGGGGAGCGGGGTTTGACTGTGCATCCATGCGGGGTAACTCCTGTGCGCATGCCAGTCTCCCCGCCTCGCTGCCCCTCCGGGGGGACGTCTGTGGTTCGTATGACCCCGCTGGTGCAGTTCCTGGGAGCTTGGCTAGAGCTCCCCGGCCTGTCCCGCTGGGTCATCAGAACGATCAGATTCGGCTACGCGATTAAGTTCGCACGGTCTCCTCCCCGTTTCAGGGGAGTTCGCTCCACGATGGTCGGTGGCAACGCCCCGGTCATGAGAGCGGAGATTGCGACCCTGCTGGCGAAGGGTGCAATCGAGACGGTCCCTCCAGCCGAGATGAGGTCCGGGTTTTACAGCCCCTACTTAATTGTCCCCAAGAAGACCGGTGGGTTACGACCGATCCTGGATCTGCGCATTTTGAACCGTTCTCTCCTTCGACTACCGTTCAAAATGCTCACAGCCAAACACATTTTCGAATGCGTCCGGCCTCAGGATTAATTTGCAGCGATCGACCTGAAGGACGCGTACTTTCATGTCTCCATTTTGCCTCGACACAGACCGTTTCTTCGGTTTGCTTTCGAAGGCCAGGCATATCAGTACACGGTTTTCCCATTCGGGTTAGCTCTGTCCCCTCGCGTCTTCACGAAGATCGTCGAGGCAGCCCTTGTTCCCCTTCGCGAACACGGGGTTCGCATCCTGAACTAACTCGACGATTGGCTGATACTGGCACACTCACGAGAACAGGTTTGCGAACAAAAAGACCTGGTGCTCCGGCACCTATCCCGTCTGGGCCTTCGGGTCAACCGGGAGAAGAGCAAACTTTGCCCCGTGCAGAGGATCTCTTTTCTCGGCATGGAGATAGACTCGGTCGCCATGTCCGCGCAGCTCACAAACGAGCGCGCGCACTCACTGCTGATTTGTCTTCGACAGTTCGAGGGCAAGAGTGCGGTCCCACTGAAACTATTTCAGAGGCTCCTGGGGAATATGGCATCTGCAGCCGCGGCAACGCCGCTCGGATTGCTTCATATGAGACCGCTTCAGCTGTGGCTTCGCGATCGAGTCCCGAGGTGGGCATGGCATCGCGGCTCGCTCCGAGTTCCAGTGACTCCAGCGTGCCGCCAAACCTTCTTCCCGTGGTCGAACCTCAGCTTTTTACGGGCCGGTGTCCCTCTTCAGCGAGTTTCCAGGCATCTCGTTGTCTCCACGGAT